TCACCCCCTTAACGAGGCGGTTTAGGAATTGTTGGGTTTAGGGTTTCAGCGCTTTGGGTTTTAGAGTCTTTTTTTTGTTTTTTTGTTGTGTTGGCTTTGGGGTTTAGGGTTTGCGTTTGCCCCAGCCGTGGTTCAGCTTGTTGTTTGAATGGTTTTTGAGTTGCTTAGGGCCTTGACAGGCTTTATAAGGGTTTACATGCTCAAGAAAGGCGAGTACATGCCCTTAGCGAAGCTGCCTTGGGTTGTTGACGCGAGAGAGAGAGAGAGAGAGACAGACAGGCAGACACAGAGAGAGAGGGAGAGACAGAGAGAGAGAGACAGACGGAGAGCCAGACAGACAGACAGACAGACAGGCAGACGGACAGACAGACAGACAGTCAGACTGACTGACTGACTGACTGACTGACAGACAGCGAGCGAGCGAGCGAGCGAGCGAGCGAGCGAGCGGGAGGGAGGAGGGGAGGGAGGGAGGTGTGTGTGTGTGTGTGAGAGAGTGAGTGAGTGAGTGAGTGTAAGTGTGTAAGTGTGTGTAAGTGTGCGTTCTTCGTTTCTCGCCTACCTCTTGCGGCCAGCAGGGTTGGTGGGGTGGCCGGCCTAGGGCCTTTGGGGTTACACAGTACATGCCTAAGGGTCCTGGTGTTCTTCCTACCCTCAACTCAAACCTCAAGAGCTTTAGAGTTTAGGGTTTGGGGAAAAACCCTAAACCCTAAACCCTAAACCCTAAACCAAAGTAAACCCGAAAAAGTCGGGGACCGGATTAAGGACAGTCAGTGCTGGGATTCCCTATACACCGGCCTTCTGCACTGAGGATATCAGGTTTCCAACTTTTTTGGGGCTTCTAGGGTCACTATAGGGTTTAGGGTTTAGGGTACGTTGGGTTTCTAGGGTCACTATAGGGTTTAGGGTTTGGGGTACGTTGGTCAAGACCGGGACCGAATGCCGTAAGTCTGCAAATTAGCTTTCAACCCCCGGGAGCAACACGATGCCAGCGAACTCGCAAGCCCTCAGCGTGCTTTCCCAATGCCTCTTGAAAACGGCTGAGCTCGTATCCCACATGTACCGTTGATATCAATGAGCCACTCGAAGACTGTTGAGAAGTCACAAGCAGCAACAGTATCTAGAATGCCAAAGACCGCGGATAAGAACAAGGACTATCATGTTCTCCATCTTCACCACCACCACCCTCAACATCAGCAACATCACCATGATCATCACACTCATCATCCCCTGCATGGCCGTCACTATCTTCATCGTTGGCTGCATCATAATGATGAGAACCTTTTCTGACCAGAACAGTCACTGTGACGACAGCCAGCACGGCCGTAGCCGCTATTTCTGCTCAGCATTACAACCAGCACCAGCAGTGTAGCCGTGGCATGAAGTATGATCGGAAAGGTCACGAAATTAAAATGCTCGAGTTCACTCTAGCCCTGAGCGGAACCATGAAGCCTCGAAACCTAGAGCTCAGACTCGCGAGCGTGAGACACGTTCTCAAACGAAGCTTCATGTTCAGGGTTGTATTGTAAGAGAGATCTACTCAGTAGGAATCTACTCTCTGAAAATCAAACAGGGATCCAATTGCAGAGCCACCCGAGAGCACTTCTCTTTTTCCGGCGGCCTTCCAGGTGGGTGAGCGATTCTAAGACTGCTCCGCGTTTTATCAAATACAATATGCTGCGGTCGCTGGGGCAACAGGAGGAGCACTTCAGGGACATGACTCAGACCTTTATTAAGGAAGAGACCTTAAATCATACTCTGGATCCTGCGCTTAAGTAGGGGATTTGAGAAGGTCTGGATGATGCAGGAATTCAGAAGCCGAGACCCTTGAACCCCTGAGGCCCCTTATGCGACAGCTTTGGAAGGGCATTGAAGCAGGAGTTCCCCCGGCCCTAAACCCCAAACCCCAAACCCTAAACCCCAAACCCTAAACCCCTAAACCCCTAAACCCTAAACCCTAAACCCCTAAACCTAACCCTAAACCCTAAAGCCTTCTATCCGAAATCCGAAAGCTTTTGAACTTGTAAGAGGACCGACCCTCAGCCTGGGTCTTGGGTTTTGGGTTTAGGGCTTAGG